TCACATGACTCACATATCCAATTCTGATATATTATTTCGACAGTACAGTTTTTATGGAAATCATTTCTTCATAAAGTAGATTATTTTTTTCGACAGTGATACTTTTAACCGCCAACACGACAACACGGCATGTTAGATAACAAAAATAAACGAACATAAGTAAGTATGACCACACAGGACAAATCCCAGATAAGAACTTAGATGCTAGAAGGAATCATTGGTAAATAAAGTTAAGGTTGTAACTGAATTAGAAACAAAAAATAGATCAAACAATATAAATAATGTATTAGAATCTAAAAAAACGTACTTAGAAAGAAGTTTAGATGATAAAGTTCACGAAGCTATAACGAAAGCCAATGATGAAGCATAATATAAAAGAAGAAAAAAAATATCAAAATTGAATAAATAATCCTACAGTTTTGTTTTAAGACCCAACTTAATGTCTTCAACTAACGCACTTGTCGGTGGTGTATGGAATATGGTGTTCATAATAACAATGAGCTAACGGAAGGCACTACATGCAATCTAAAATAATGTTAAATTTGAAAGGAAAAAAATGTATTTAAGAAATTTGTTTCGAATAAAAGAAATTACAACAACCCTGCCTAGTAAAACAATCTTTGTTCAGGACTCAAACACCAAGCCTCAATTGGTTGTGAGACGGGATGGTCCTAGCGGCCGATTAACCCAAAAGAAGAAGAATAAAAGAAATTGCATTAATCAAAGTGTGTTTTTATCGATTTGTTTGTTTTACTATGACTATTCTAAAACGTCGTTAAAACCAAGTAAAAAGTGTTTGCTTAGATCGGGTTTCATTACTACTTAGGTAGGTATAATTCGGTATAAATCATTCGGCAAGTCGTTATAGTTGTAAATAAACGGATAGGATGACCATTATAGTAGTGTCGGCAATAAATATTAATTACTAACCATATACTAATACGGTTTATGAACAGCCGCTACGTAATAGACCGTTGAATATTTATGACTTTCCTTACGAATGCTAGCAAGGTCTGCGAGCAAAGTATCTATGAATAATATATAATATTACAAAGGGTTGAATGGACCAAAAAAAAAAAGGGTCAGATTAGGTTGACTAAAGTATAAATACAGGGTGATTTTTTTTATCGTGATCCACTCAATATCACATATTATGTTTTATTTAATTTTTATTTTGTATAGTGTTTTTATAAACAAAAAGTGATCTCAATGTCTCACAAATTCGTATGTTTTTAACCATTTTAAAAATGTATGCGTTATCGTTGAAGTTTCAAAAGTTGATGTAAAAATAATTATAGTTTGGAAGGACGGTAGGAACATAAGAATTTGTGGAAAATTGAGATCACATTGTAATATAAAAACCGAGGAAGAAAAATATTAAATTATTAATTAAACTCATTGAGATATTCACTGGTTTGCGATACAAAAAATTACCCTATATATATATTTATACACAGACCGTAAAATCCATTTGTTTAACGGAGGACAAAAAAAAAACATTGAAGCCCGTATGATAAAAGGTAAACGATTTCGGTTTTACGGTAATTTTCCGAACATAACATTGATCAATTGCTTTCCGTCCCTCGATCCCCCCCCCCCTGTATTGTGTAAAATCAAACATCTGGATGATGGATTGTTATTGTAATATTGTAAAAAAAAAAAACTTTTACACGGGAAGAAATTTCGATGGGTCCGGTTCGATCCATAACCGCGGTGTTTCTCTCAGATTTTAATTACTTTTAATAAACTCGTTTATAATCGCATTATTTCACAAAAAAACACACACACACAAAACTTTTGTTCTAAAATAATAAAAATAAAAAATCGACACGGTCGAAAATGGTAGGCATTTGAATATTTCGTACAAGAGATTTGATGAGGACGTGAAACATAGGACAAACAAAATATGTTATAAATGTACTAAATATAGTCAGCAGCAGCATTGATTGACGCTATTCGCATTTCACAGCTTGGAAGATCAGTATAGAATATATAGTCAACAGTCAACAGACCTGTACTACCGGCTCTGATGAAAATGACACTACCAGAGGAGTTAAAGTGGAAACGGACGAAGAGGTGATAGAAACGGAAATTGACGAACAGGAGACAAACCCGGAAATAGCCAATCAGAGTAGAAAACCCGAAATAGACGAACAAACGACGTTTAAACGCGGTTGTCAGGTATGGTAGCTCCTGCAATTACTTTATATACAAAACGAATAAATGAATAGAGCCAAAACAGATGGCCAAGCTCAAGTTGGCTTATTGTAAACTATATTCTCTCTATGTGGGCTAAAAGGTGGATTTAGTTATTTAGGTATTAGAAAATAAATTAGGTATATTTATTAGAAAAAAGATATAAAAGTGTAAAAATATAAACTCTTGCAATTTAATTTTGAAAACAAAAATACAAAAACCGGCCTTTTAGCCCCCATAGAGAAGATAATAAAACAAAAATTGAAATCGGTTCGGTGAACACTTCTAGAAAGTGACTTCGCGTTTTAGAAATTATTTGTATACAATTTTGCACTTTCCGTTCTCCTTAACTATGTTTTATTTTAAAGTTTAAACAGCATATTCCCTCCCAGTCATGTTTTTTTTTAATCATTAGAGAAGCAGTTCAGTTCAATTTCAGTTACTCACCGCCATACTTATTTAACAGAGAAATAACATAGTTAATAAAAAATATAATATCTCTTACTACTAGTATACAGAGTGTATCATAGTTGTTACTATGAATGTTATGTATCAAACTATTTTTTTTATGTTTACTGGGAAGTAAAACATTATTTGACACCATATTATTCTTCGGTTACTAAATCTCCAAAAGGCTCACAAAAACAACATTAAAATTGTTTAAACTCTTTTATTTAAAAGAACAGAATGACTATTATATATTTTTTTTAATTTATAGAGAATCCTAATGGCAAATATGTTTTATTCATTTTAACTAGACACGGTTGGCTTTTTGTCGCCTCTGATTTATCGGCATGGACGAGACCCTTTTAATTATAATTAATAATCATCCGTTAACAGGTATTTATCGAAATTCTAATTACTATTATTTATTATTACCTACTATGACGTTAAGGCACTTATGTTTGTGCGCCCGTGACGTTGTACAACCATAGGTCTTTTGTTGCGTTCAAAATTGTGTGAATAGGCGATTAAATTACATAAAACAATATTACAGGTACCTATAATCAATAACGTCCTTTCCTTTTACTGTTAAAATACAATGCGTTTGGATCGACACTAGAAATAAAAAGAATACAAAAAAAAAATACTAGAAATTTACGACGGTCAAAGTGTAATTTCCCCACTTTGTTTTGGGTTTTCTCTAACAAAAGAGTTGTTACTACCAATTTTTGAAAAAAACAGTTACACTCTAGGTATATCTATCTTCAGTAAAATTCATATTACTTCAAGTTAATATTATGTATCATAAGTTCAAATTTTATAATACTTGTTAAAAAGATAAAAGAATAATATTACATTAGCTTGTTGTTGGTTGCAACGCAAATCTAAGGTCGATTTTTACAACAGTGTTGTTTATGAGTAGGTCGAAGTAGGTATTTGAACATGACACAACGGCTGGGTATAATAAAATATGTTGTAATACACTAAGATAGCCTTATTTGTCACATAAACAAAAAAACGTGTCAAACTAGGTTTAAAGGCGTTTAGTCATAAAATAAAGAAAACCAATTCAAAGAGTTTTTGTTGTTTACAAACTACTGCCTAAAGAAAACATAAAAACAATCTAGAAAATGCTTAAGAAATCATAACATCACTATGAAGAGAAAAAAAATTACATTGTAAAAGTTGCAATATTGTTTTGAGATTTTATATTTATAATAATGGTCTTTTTTTAAGCTATTATTTATCTACCAATAATATCATTGATTAGAACGTTAGCTTCGACGCGAAGCTGAGAAAGTGTCGGTTTTACAATTAAGTGTTTTTAAAGATTCTAGTTTTTTAACAGATTTATTTATGAATAAAAACAATATGAGAAATTGTACCTAAAAGGTACTTTACAAGGAAAAAAATTTGCCCTTATGAAAATGTGGAAAACACTAAAAAAATGTACATGTTTTTTAATTTAAAACCGAAATAGAAACACTAAGAACATAATTATTAATTACTTATGAAATATTATTGTTATACTAAAATATTGCCAGCTGTTGAAATCTACTTATTGTGATTTTTTGCCATGTGTACAGGGCGATCAGTTAAACATAAGCTAGATTAATATTTGTCATTGGCAATTGAAATTTTGTAATTGCCTTTTTTTTTTTTTAAATAAATATTTTTGTTGGTTACATTTCGATGGCTTAGTGCACATATGTTTAAGTCCACCTTTTTCCAAAATACTTATTTTGATACCAGTAGTCAAAAGACAGAAAATTGAATGTGGTTTTTTTTTTTTTTAATACAATATGTTCTTTATACCTCAAATTTATATTTGTTGTGATGATTACATTTACAATGAAAACTTTGTGGTACTATCTTATTAAACTAAACAATTTAATTCGCTCTACTGAACAATTTCAACTTTGTGACTTATAACAAGTGGGCACTAATAAGCCATCGATTTATACAATTTACAGTGGATTATTTTCAAGTTGAAATTATCGTTTGTATCGATACATTTAATTTCTTTTTGTACCTACAGATTAGCATTAGAGCGTTGATCATTTTTGAAGAGCTGTAAGCTTCCAGATCACAAAACGCCGGCTGACATAATAATGTTTCAAGGTTGCAACTGTATTCTTGATTCAATGTAACACAATATTTTTTTTACCAGACAGTATAGTGTTTGAAAAGTAAGCTACAAAAAAAACCATCATTCATAGCTACGCCTGTTACGAAAATTACGTTTGGTTTACAGTACAAATTACTGCAAGAAAGAATTATGCGACGATCAAACCTTATGTCAAAAATAGTCATTCTCATTTTGGGTATACAATTTTAAGTATACATATAAAATAAAAAAATGTTGTTTTATATATTTTTATTGACATAATACATTCAACACAAAAAAACGGTTTACTGTTCCATCTCCTGGCCCTGCAGCTCTTTGAGGTAAGCAGCTTTGGCTTCGGCAACCCGTTGTTTGCGTTCGGCATTTGTCAATTTCTTAGCATTCCAGCGCTTCGCCTTAGACTCCTTAGAAGCATCCTTCTTTGGTTTCCTCTCGCGTTTCGGGTTGGCTCTGATGTTTTCATGAGCTTTCTTATACATATTTTCCAACTAGAAAAAACAAGATTATAATTAGCATGTCTTAGATAGAAAAAAACATAATTAATACATTTTTTAAATTTTTTTTATGATTGATTAGAAATAGAAATTTGATTAACGTTTACTAGGTAAATAAAAAAACACTATTCTAGACTGTTTTTTTATTTATTAAATTAATTGATATGTTTATCAAGAGATCACAATAGAGGTAGACTAAGAAAGAAGCGGGCAGACGTGATAAAATGGCCACAGCGTGATTTGAGGATAGCTAATGCTGCAGGGCCCAATCCATTTTATAGGCAGGATTTGAAAGGTTTAATGTTAAAATTTAAAAACAATAAATGAAACCATTTTTGAAAATATTCATCGTATAAACCATATAGTTATATATATAACCGTAGTTTTATTTGTAAAGATAGGTAATTCCCAAAAGTTTTCTTAACTAATTTTAGTTAATATTCTTTTGGAAAATTTAAAATTGTAACTGGTATTTTGATGTTATATACATTGGGTTTCTTATTAACTAAATCAAGCGTTCAAACATTTTTTTTTACTAATAACAAGTACCAACAAATTGTAGTTTTGTTATAAATTATATTAGAATTTGTTTTTTTATTATAAAGTGTTAGTCAAGTCTTTAAAATGTTAACAAACTCGACTCGAGATCTGTTAATTGCATTAGAGGGTTTAATCGATTCAAGTTAAATCTATTGTTTGAAATACCAATTGTAAGCTGTTTAATCAGTAAATCATTTTTTTTTTTTGGAACAATTATCAAAAAATCGGTAAAATAATAATAACAATAAAAAAAACAGAACAATTTAGTAACCAAACTAGATTGGAAATAGAAATTTCTTAAAACTATTCTTAGTTAAATAAATGTGTTGTCGCCAGTTGAAATCAATCGGCAATTGGATTAAATCCAAGTTATTAATTAATCTAAATTTTTAAGTGAAACTAAGTTTATAGTTATTTCCTTCCTAATTTAGAAATATTTGTGGTTTGTTTAACTCTAATATAAGATACTGATTTTCTTAGCAAAACTCATAAAATTTTCTATAAAACGAATTTCAATAATTTTAGAAAGAGCACTTCTAATGTTTATTTTTTTTTAAAGAAGCCTACAAATTTATTGTTTCCAGTAGCCCACACACTACAATCAAATACGACGGTTTTACTCGCCGTGTTTAAAATCAAGATTTGACAGATATAAAAAAACTGTTGTTTTGTCGGCGCTTTTTGCCCATACACTTAAGTTTTGACCGACATGTTTTATCGTGACAATGAAAACAGACATATTTCATTGTAGTGTATGGGCTGCTTAAAAAAAAAAGTTTTAAAATAAGGCTGTGCTATTAAGTAACCTAAACTATGTCAATTAACTTTTTTTTTTTAACTTGACTAGCAATTTTCTTGTTATAATTAAATTGATTGTGAACTTAACACAATAGTCTTTGTACTTAAAAATTCACTAATTATACTACTATCAAAGACAAATTAAAAGGGAGAGAGATGGAGTAAAATTATTGTTTCTTTCTATTAATATCGACTCGACTAGTTCATTAAATTAATTTTAAGATATAACTTTACTAAAAATTGTATTTAACTCTGTAAATATACTCGCTCAACCTTGTGTAAAAGTTTCATCATATCCAAACTCTAAATATAGCATAGAGAAATAAAATGTTGAAAATCGAAGTCTATAGTGCTCTGTAGTTTTCTTAAAAAAAAAAGGTAGAAGCCGACAGAGTATAGAACAGGAATTTGAAAATAGTAAAATTCAGATATTAGGATACATGCACTACATACATGTCACTACGGGACCGTTCTTCACATTTCCAATTTAAAATTCTATTAAATAACTAAATAATACGTTCAATTAAATAATAATTAAAAAAAAAGGCATCTTACATCGTCAGCGACAATTCCTAATTTTATAAATCTAGAGAATTGACGGTTGAACGCGTCTTCGTCCTCTTCTTCTAATTTGCGCATGTACTCAGCAACGTGTAAGCCTAAGATGTGTTTGCGGTGGGTTTCTGGACTGTATTCCTTGGATTCAGCATCATAACCAGGGAATCGCTTGACACTGCGGAATTACATTTTATTAAAATATGTTTCAACAACATCAGCCATCTGAAAAAAATTAACCTGTGGGGAATGTTGAAACCACCATCAACAGCACCTTTCATTGCACCGAATACACGAGCTCCAGTACTGGTTTTCATTAAACCAACATCTAAGTTGCAACGGAAAGCGTTTGGGCCTTCGTCAGCAGGCTCTACGTAATATTCTTCGCCATTGGCTTCTTTCAATCCCTCGTACAGACGATCCAAACCAAGTTTTTTTAACAACTATTCGCAAACAGGAATATGTTATTAATGAATACATGATATTACCATAAATTTTGAAATATACAGATAAGCAGTTCTATACACAAAAATGGTAACATTTTATTGTGGAATTCTTGCTGGCAAGAGCACCGGTCTACCATCCGCTCGTCTGTAACTATAACGAGGGTACTTCTACTGTCAGTGTAAATAAATTTCTGTTTTTTTTATACAGAACTGTTTAGCGTATATATAAAATCAATGCTAGTACTAATCTAGACTAGCGGGCCTAGTCTAAAAACACGATAAATTAACACAACATAATATTATCAAAGACTCGTTCTAATTTTGTGCTGGTGGATATTTTGGATTACATTAAAATTAAAATCGTTAAGCTACGACACCGAATTTAGAAGGTATTTACATTTTAGTTTTTTACATACATCAATTTTATTGAAAAATTTAACACCACGAGTAACCTAATTGTTAAATCAATGAAAAATCGGTCTTTTAATTTTTCATGATTATACCTATATAAAAGACACAATTAATATCTCACCCGACGAGCAACCAAAAGTCCGGTGCAGTATGCAGCGGCGTAGTTGGTCAAACCGACTTTGACACCGTATCTGGGCAATTCATGGCTGTAAGCGGCACATACGATTTTGTCTCCTTCAATGCGAGAGTGTGCGACCTGTGGGAATAGTCAACGGTAAACGAACAAAGTATGTTGGATAGAGTTGTACAAAACTTACCTGGCATGTAATGTCCGTGTTGGAGAAACGAACGATCATACGGTACTTAGGTGTGTCATACTTGTTCTTGTCTTGTACGATCAGGCGTTTGCGGGCATAGTAGTCGGTTTTTCCTTCACGACGCCTCTTGAATTTCACTTGGTAACGCTTGAAGTATTGTTTGCACTTGACGACTTTAACGAAACCCTAGAATGTGGTTGAAAAAGAAAAAAAGGCCTAGTTCAAATTTCGTTCGGTCGACAAATATAATATTACAATAAACACGTCGAATGTTTGTCGGGTAGATTGGATTTTTATCCGGTCGAATCCGTAATAATTATTCGCCGACGATTCGGCGGAGTGTATAATATGAAAGAATATTCGTGTACTTACCATTATAAAAGATAATTAACACAAACAACGACGTAATCCTGCGGAAAACGTCGTTCGAAGATAGAAAACTCGAAAGTAGAGAACACTCGATCTGTGTACCGTGAAAGACAACAACCAGCGCAGCGAGAATTGATAAGCTAACCTAGAAAAGTCTTGGCATTCGATTCATGGAAGAGAATATCCTAGTGCCGCTCAACACACACACACACACTCACATGTGCAACAGTTCTATTGTTCCATGAACTCGTTATCAATGTGACCGGCCATTTCAAATCGATGATGTAGTAGGCACCTTTAAAAACTAAATTTTTACTTTCATATTCCTTTCTAAATTCAATGACGTATCGCATATTATTATTATTAATGTAAACAGGTAAACTGTACGTAATATCATTGAGTATATATATACTCAATACAATACAATATACAATATATACTCAATGGTAATATATAAATAAATATAAGTTTACTTAAGTATGTATAAATATGTATTGTGATATAATATTATAAACACTTAAATATTAATTGTTATACTAGTATAACACAGGTCATTTATTGAAAAAATAGAGTAACTCTAAATGTTCAAAATATATATTTATTTTTGATTTGATCGAACCATGTTGGATTAATAATTATTTATTATAGTATATTGTAATAACACGTTAAATTAATTTGAACTTCATGTTGATATGCGATAACCGACATTTTGTTGATACAGAAACTCAGTTATAGAGTTGGGCACATTAAGTCTAAGTGACATCGTGCGTTCGGACTTACAAACAAAAATCAATTTAGACATTCATAAATAAATAAATAATTTGTACAATGTATTTTTTCAATATATTCGTATAATAATAATTATCCATTTAGGTTATCAGGTAAACTTAACACGAAACCTAAATCTAAATAATAATTATGGATGACCTTATTTACGAGCTCTTGAATTTGAACTGCAAATTGATGTATGATATCCGATCTTTTCTGCTTTGGACATTCAGTTATAAATTTCTTTATTAATTTTTTAATGTGCTGGTTTTCATTTGGTGGTAGTATGCAACAATCTTTTACAAACGGTCTCGACGAACGCTGATTCCTAGCATTAATAGACTTGAACATTTTTACGACAAATAGACTAACTTTTGACTTGTACTCGATATCATTTGCACCGATATAAGTTGGAAAACTGCGTTTTAAATTTATCGATATATCTTTGTACCACCCCACTACTTTTAATATTTTGTGCGCGTGTGCTATTCTAGGATGCAATGCATATGCCTCATACGGAATTAATCTGTATAAATAATTTAATGCGTCATACATATACTCAAACATCGGCTGACTATCCAATAATTGTTTGTACGTAAAATTGAAAATCTCCCACGCAACGTCATAGTCGTAGTAAGACTCTTTACAAACTTTGGCTTTCACACTATTTGGTTTGGTGTCTTTCTCGTCAGCCGATGTATGCAACGTGTCTTCCAAATTGTCACTATTTTTCTCAAATGGTCGATGGTCATGTTGTACTTCAGTTCTCGGCCGCTTGCCTAAAATTTGTTGACAATACGTATTTTTTCTGCATTGACTATGGTATACTCTATTCTGAGATAATTTTCTTTCATTTGCATTTACAGATAACATGTTTTTAATCAACATTGTAAATATGTCCGTCACGTTCGCGTATACACATGCTAACAAATTAGTGACCATGTAGACTTTTTCGTACACGTTTTCGACATTAACATGAGAATTTCCAATGTTCTTAGTGCGTGAGTACAAACCTTTGTGAATAAACAAATCGTTCCCAGAAAACGATCCGTTTGCGAAATCCGGTCGTTTGGCTTTTACTTCGATGAGCTGGGCCCATTGTGAATGACCCAAAATTGCGTTAAGTACATCAGCAAGAGTTTCTTTGACCGTGTAAGATGCTAACGTTTGTTCATTGTATATTACAATAAAATAAAAGAAACTCGCCAAATCTTTGCACAGCATTGTAGTATTTAGTAAAAAAAAAACCTAAACTAAAATATAGTTTATATTGTATATTTTAATGTAAAATATAGTGAATTTTATACGGCGCACAGTAATTTATGTTTTTCAGTTGCGTGCACATGTATTGTGTGTTACAAAGACGCATTATTACAGACTAAAGTGGTTTTTTAGAACACTTGTCCATGTACAAATATCTACAATATAATACCATCTTATAACATAGTCTTGGTTAAACAACTTTTCAATGCAAGTTTTATTATTTAGAGTAGAGCGAACAATAGTTATGTGATAAAAAGATCACTTTAATAAGTTTAAGTGATATCGTTTGGTCAAACTGAAGTATAAGAATTAATTTACATATTATTTTTTTAATTTCTCGTATTAGTTATTGGTTTGAGTCGGAAAGGGGTGGGGCAGAGTCTATATCTGAACGTCAAAAGAACATTTATAATCATTCATAAAAAATAAACCTTATATTATACGTATTTCTACATTTTTAGCAGATTTGTTTACAGTCACCTGCTGGGTTGTGTATGTAATAAGAATTTTGTTATATGCCTATAGTTTTGTTATAAATTACACACCATCTACATGTAGCTGTTTTATTTAATTTTGATAGTAGCTGCGTTCATATTTTGTTAATATAATATGTTTATACAATACTCGGTTTTTGTGAACTTTTAAGAGGGCCCCACACACTCGTTATTTTCTTCAAAAAACCCGTCTTGCGCGGATTAATTTTACAAAGGCTGTAATCAAAACTAAGAAACCAGATTTACACATAATATAGACAACAAAATTGTCTGTGTTCTACATTCGCCCTTTTTTTAATATTTCAACCAGTTAGGTAATGAATAATTAATTAATTAAGAAATTACTTTTTTTAAAAATGATATAGCGTTGGTTGTATTAGGTTCATCGAAAAAATACGGATGATGGAACACAGATAATTTTGTCATAAATAATATGTATGAATTTCTTTCCTTAACTGTATATGAAGCCTGAAAAAAATTAATCCACGTAAAACTCAACTTTTTTTATAATCGCTGTCAATCTTTGAAATAAAAAAAAGAGTCCTAACTACTGAACTCGTAGTTACACATCACAGTTTAACCTTAAAGTTAAAATTTTGTAAAAATTTGCCTATACTTTACTCCTTAAAAATGGGCGGTGTGGCGTCCTCTTAAGGTATTATTCGAATAGGCGTTATTTAAAAATATATGAGAATTTTATCTATAAAGTTACCGTGTCTTCAGGCAAAAAAACAAACACATACTTACATAACCGTTACCTTTTGAGTTTTGAGCTCCGAATTGTAGCTAAAAATTAAAAAAAAAAAAAACATAAATAAGTAACTTTCCCATATTATACTATAATATTTATTTAAAAATAATTTATAATATCTAGGTACGCAAATATTTTAATAATACGACCGAAATAGAAGCACAGTGAGAAAGGAGTATATTTTGAGTTGAGGAAGATCACAGGTCTTCAGGAATTTATTATTATCTTAAGGGGCTTGAATAGGCTAAACACATGCACTACGAAAAAACTCGTACGCCTCGATTATAATAATTTTTTTTGTTGGTAAGCTTTCCTACATTGTGCATCTACATTGTGGACTTAGATTTTCAAAATCCTTTTTCTCAACGGTATAAGTTTAAATATTTCTAATTTGTACAAGTCTTACACTAATTTTTTCTTTTTGCTTTCAGTAACGTAATCAAAAACCGAAGTCTTTGAATGTGCTTTGTAGAAAGCCTTTCTCTTACCAACAAAAAAAAAACAAAATCTTGTAATCCGACACTTCTATGAGGTGTGAGTGTTTTTGTAACGCATGTTTTTAGGACCCGTTTAATATTTTGTCCGGTTGTCCTGTTGACTTGTAACCCACTCCGCGTCATAGACAAACTCTGTTCTAGCGGTCTTTGTACTATTAATAGGTAGTCTATATACTATGCACTCCTATTATGTAAAAATTTGCCGCTTTTTGATAATATTGACATAATATTTGATGTCGTCGCTACTTACTTTTCTTAAATTCAATTTACCAATTACATGTACCGATGTAGCAAGTCCATAGATTAGAATTGGTATTAAAAAGGTACTTTATTGGGACAAACATTTTAAAAGTTCGCTCCTTTTAAGTAGAGAAAATCATCCTAATAACTACTTACTTTTTAAACTTAAACTTTGGCACAAAGGTGGGTCTTATAGTATAAATAAAGGGAAAAATCTGAAAATTGCAATTTTCTAAAATTAATGCGCTAGGTGGGGATTAATGACCTTCGCCGCGCTACAGCCGGTACAGGGCGCTGTTGATGCCCACGTCGCTAGTCAGCCATCATTTGGTCGTAGTTTGTGTCTTGGTTAATTCTTGTGCACGAGTATGGCAGTGTAGCAGTGTTCTTTGTTGTTTGCCACGTGGTCTATTATAAAGTGTAATTGATCACCTAAACGTTTAGGTTTCGTTTATACGTTTATAATACTAAACTAGATTCATAGTGGCTACTTGTATAAATTCTAGCTTCACTACAAAGTGTAGTTTTATGTACATATATACATTATATAATATATAATGTATTTATATATATATATATATATAAATAAATTATGTATTATATAATGTATATATGTACATATCTACGTAGTTAATATAATAACACGTAAAAACAAGAAAAAATCTACAACTTACAATATCCATGCAATGCCTCGTATAAAATAGTGAAAAAAGGCCAAGTTTCAGAACCCCTCCCAAAAATGTCAGCCTATCAATGTAGTGATATCTACATTGTGGCCAAGTCTGCTATTTCTTTAGTTCATAACCTCACTTACCTCCTACTTTTATAAGTAACATTGCTCTTTTATTTGTATTGCTTAACACTTGGCCAGTTTCTGAATTAAGCATGAAACATCATAATTAAATATACTCACTTAGGAGTTATGTGGGTGATGGGAAAAAGAGAACTCAGAAATAAAGAAAAAGGTTCAGATCCCCTCTCGAAAAAGTCAACCAATCAAAGTAGTGGTATCTACATTGCGGCCAAGTCTGTTTTATGCCTCATCCAGAAACAGGTGTTAACATATAATATAATATATAGATAATCTAAATTCAATTCTTCTTAAGCCTATATCTAAAGATGAAATTAAAAA